TTCACAATTATTGAAAATTTTTGAAATTGGTGTGACCCATTTTTTCTGTCACCTTTCCACATCTACAGAAGCTTTTATACCGTGGAATTTTATTGTTGAAAGGAAAGCATGGGTCACATTATACAGAAAGGCTTCTCTTACATATATATATATATACATATATATATATACATACATCTATACCTATATAAAAGTTTACATATATACTTATATACAGATAGCTAGATCGATCGATGGACAACCGCACGCACGCAGCCCTTGGGCAACTCTGCCGAGACCCCGAACGGAGTTGGCAGGAAACCTGGAGGGCTTCAAACTCCGCATAGGGCTTTGGTTTAGGGTTTAGGGTTTAGAGTATAGGGGTTTAGGGTTCAGGGTTTAGGGTTGATGCTTTGAGGATTTCGGCTTGGCGATGTCAAGTTCAGGTTTGAGGCGTGCTTGCAAGGGCTTTGGGTTTCAGGATATCTTCAAGTGTTGCGGTTTACTCTCAGCAAGTATAGGATGTCGGAATAGTGATGTGCACAGATTTTTCGAGTTTCGGTTCGTGCGATACACATGTTTAGATCTATAAATATGTGTAGATACATACATACATACATACGTACATACATACATACCTACATACATACCTAAACATACCTATACATACCTATACATACCTATGCATACCTATACATAACTATACATACCTATACATACCTTTACATACATATACGTACATAAACATACATATACATACATATACATACACATACACATACACATACACATACATATGCATATGCATATACATAGACATATACATATACATATACATATACATATACATACACATACATACATACATACATACATACATACATACATGCGTACATACCTAAACATATCCATATATACCTATACATACCTATGCATACCTATACATACCTGCACATACATACTTATATACATACATACATACATACATACATACATACATACATACATACAAGTACATACATATATATATATACACAAACAGAGAGAGAGAGAGTGCCTTGTGCGCCGAAGCCCTAGTCTAACCAATATAAGACCGCAATTTTACCCCTGCCTCCGCTCCGAGCACCCGAGGATCCTGGCAGACTATTGCGCTGAATTTCCCTGAAGAGCCGGGCTTTAGAAGTGGTTTGTTCGTCTCCGTAAGCCTCAGAGAGAAGCTGTTTTCCCGAAATGCTATAGATTTGTTCTGTGGTTATCTTGTTGAGCCGTGTGTCCTTCATACTGTAAGATTTGCAAGATGAGCCGGTTCTTCTTCACTGTAGCGACACCAGATACGAAACCCGACTTTCAACCCATATAAACACTTGAAACACTCCCACCATAACCATTCTGCTTGCCAGCAGCCAAGACTCGGAGCACAAGTGAGGGCTTAGGGTTTGGGTTTGGTGTGGAAACCCTGAACCGCTCGAGACCTTGATGGAAACTCCAGACCCCTAGAGCCTCCAAACCCTGAAACCCCGTTAGATTCACATCTCCTATACACCCTAACCCTTACCCTCAAAGGACTCATATTTTAAGGCTCTTGGGCCCAAAGACCCCGTTATATGAGGCTTTTGGGCTATGTTGATGCTACCGGTAAACTAAGCCCGAGTTCTTCGATCCTAGCCACACAACTTGGTTTTGTCAAGAAAACAGAACTAGCAAGAACCCCTGTATAAACGCCAATACTCCCGATAACCCAGCAACTTACCACACAGATTGCGGGTTCCTATAGGGGGAGGTTTGATATCTGGCCCTAAGGTCATCATGTGCCCAAATAGTCTTTTCTCTTTGGCCCCCAAACACCTGTAAAGTATTTGCTATTTTGGCTTTCTCTTTGGCCCCCGAATCACCTTTAAAGTATTTACTATTTGGGCACATGGACCCTTAGGGTAGAAGAATTTTTCAATGAAACCTACCGAGGTCCCGAGCCTCTTCGTGTAGACCTCTACGCCGACCCTGCGGCCAAAGCTGCGCAGGACCGTCCTAAACCCAAGGGGTCCTATAAGTACCTATATATATATATAGTAGAATGTAAGGTTTCTATAAATAGGAATTCCAATCATGGTTGGTATTCCCCATGTCGGTACTTATGAAAAACAGTCAGGTTTGAGGATTGGTCGAAGTTTGGGGATATGTTTGGTTTACGGGCTTCATGCACAGGGTCTAGAGTGTAGGTTTTCAGATGCTTTTAGGATTCTATGGTTGACGGTCTTGGGGCCCGGTAGGATTTAGATCGAGGTGCACAGTGCGGCAAAGAAGCTACATCCGAAGAGCTGGAGAGCTATACCACTCAGCCAGCATACAGTGACGCCCGGGTCACGAGGTGGCTTTGAGTATGTTTCCCTTCGGGCATCACGATTAAAGCCTGGAGAGCAAAGCCAGGTGCATAAGGTCACTGGAAATTCTGCCGCCACAACCGAAACACCGGAACCCTGCAGCTCTGCACCCGATGCTGGGCTTCGGGTGCAGAGCCGGATTCCAAGCCCCTTACACAGACACACACACAGAGACAATCTCTCTCTCTCTCTCTCTCTCTCGCCCCCTCCATCTCTCTCTCTCTCTCGTGAAGGTGTTTGTGTGTTTCCACGTTCCAATTCCCCGACATCCCTCTTCCCTGTAGTTGATTGAAACAACAATGGACTTGCTCTCTCTCTCTCTCTCTCGCTCGCTCACTCGCTCACTCACTCACTCAGTGCCTCACATAGTCCTAATTTTACACCCACACCAACCCAACTCACGACTTCGATCCCACAGTTACATTGCATACACCCATGACCTATCAAAAGGGAACACGAGCCTTTTGAGGCCCTACATTTGCTCTTGCAAACTCCTCGAAGTATAAAACCCCTCCAAGACAGCTCTATGAAGCCCCTGTTAAGCCCCTTAGAACTTCTTTAAACCCATGAGAGGTTTCATACAACCCTACGGTTTGATGCTCTGATGAGGCCCGTATAAGCCTGCATGAAGCCCTCATGCAGCACCTTCTGTGGTCCATGGTTCTGAAGCCGGCATGAAACTTTTTAAGACCCTTCTGAAACCGTTCAACACTCCTCACAACCCATAAAAGCCCTAAGCCGTAAACCTTACACCCTAAACCTTCAACCCTAAACCCAAAGCCCTAAACTCTAAGCCTCATAAACCCTACACCATTCAGGCGTCTAGTTTGGCGTGTGGGGTTGTCCTGCAAATTTAAGGCCCTGAACCTTTCGCCACCAAATTTGCCGAGGGGGATCCAGGATCCTGCAAGAGATCTATAGGGGTTCTATTAGTGTTTAGGAGTTCAGGGTTTAGGGTTCAGGGTTTGGGTTTACGGTTTAGGGTCGGGACGGTTTTAAGGTTTGGGGCTTTGTAGTGGCTTTTCCCGCGTTTCAACTTCTTGTGCTGCCATGATTCTGATGAGCTTCTATCCCTAAACTCTAAACCCTAAACCATACACCTTGACTTGAAACCCCCATTTCTGCCGTAGAGCCTTCGGTTTTGGGTTGGTACTCCGCACCTATCTTCATTCTGGGTATGTCGGCTTTCATCCAGGAAAGTTCCGGGAGGTTCTATGTAGGTTTGGAGTTTCAAGAGACTGGTTTTTGGATTTCTCTATGTTGAGTGTTCAGGGTATAGAGTTTAGGGTTCAGGGTTTAGGAGCGTCCTGAGTGCCACCAACATCCTGATATTTTTTTCTTGGCTCCGAAGCCCAATCCCGCTTTTCTCCCAAAACCCTAAACCCTAAACCCTAAACCCTATGCCCAAGATCGAAGAACCTTAAGCCGTGGGGCCCCTGTTCTTCCCCAGAAGCCCTACACCCTAAACCCTAAATCCCTCAACCCTAAGCCTAAGCCCCTAAACCCTTGAACCCCTAAACCCCTAAACCCTAAAGCTCTAAGACCCTAAACACCTAAAGCCCTAAAGCCCTAAACCCCTAAAGCCCTAAAACCCCAAACCCTTAACCGCTAAAACCCTAAACCCCCTACTTCCTCAACGCTAAACTGCGGGAACCTGGCGACTTCAGGCTATCTGACTCACTTGGGGGCCCTACTCGTCCGCCTACCAGCAGCTTCGGCGCTTGAAGCAGAACTTCTGCCTGCTTGCAGTCTTTGGGGGTTTGGGTTTAGGATTTAGGGTTCTATGGCTTTAGGGCTTTAGGGCTTTAAGGTTGAGGAGTTTAGGGCTTTAGGGTTTAGGGTTTACGGGTTTAGGGCTTTAGAGAGTTTAGGGTTTAGGGGTTAGGAGTTTAGGGTCTTAGGGTATTGGGTTTGTGAAGGGCGTAGGGCTTCAGGGTTTTAGATGGTTTTAGTGTTTCAAGGTTTAAGGGGCTTGAAATTGAGGATTTAATTGTTAGGGGGACCTTAATTTAGAGAGTGACCCGCATGGGAAGGTAGAAGGGCCGACATCCCCTAAACCCTAAACCCTTAAACCCTACAGGGCGAACATCAACCAGAGTGCCTAAACCGTAAAGCCCTAAACTGCAAATGCCAGCCTCGGATCTAGCTGCCAGTCAAGGCGATTGCAATACAGGACTCAATAGTCTTTGGCTAGGTGAGAAAGAGATTGGCATCGACACAACTGAGTGGAGATGAATCGTCTCCGGGGGCAGATTGCCCGCAGTATCTCAGCACCTTGACTCCAACCCGGGTGTCAAGATAGAAGCCCTAAACCCTAAACCCTAAACCCTAAACCCTTACCGGGTGTCCTGGTGCCGAGATGGCCCTTGACGAAAAAGTTTGAGACCCTAGTCGGGCAGTCGTCGGAGGAGACGAGGGGTCCCTCACAGTTAACCCAGAGGCTCCATATATACTACCATTGTGAAATTATAGGGTTTAGGGTTTAGGGTTTAGGGTTTGGAATTATAGGTCCCTAAAGCCATAATAAATTATGGTCTTTTGGGACTTAATTCCACAATGGTAGTATATATGGATCCTCTAGGTAATAAGCCAAGATGGAGCGTATGACGCGGGCCTCCTGCGCCAGCATAGTTCAGTACTTGAGGCACGTGCAGCCTCTGATGCCTTTGCTAAGCCTTTGCGCGTTTGCTTTTTAAAACAGGTCTCACAAGGGAAACAGAAGTCCCACCACAAGAGTTTGATTTTGTAGTCAGGTAGATCAGACCCAGGTTACCCAATCGTTATCATAAAGGTCCCTAAACCCTAAACTCTAATTAAGGTCAGCATTAAGGTCGCCGAGACACCCAACCACCCCAACAGCCCACACCCATAGCCTTGACCCTAAACCAGCCACCTCTTATAGGGCTTACCCTAAGGCTCGATGTGTCTAGTATAGTCATAGTATATAGGCCTTACAGGGGTTTCTGTTTAGCCTTTTCAGGCTCAAGGATATACTCTATATTCTTTCATGTACATGGACCGAGACTTCGGATTTATAAGGGCGTAGGGCAACTAAACTTCTATAGTTCTATTGCAAACAGCGAGACTCCTGGAAGACCTGGATCTACAGCAATTCCTTTTTATAGAGCCTCTTGTAGAACCCGTCTAGAAACCTTATGCCTTCAGGCCCCGATATCCGACCCTGTTAGACTCGTGCAAGCGCCTTAAAAGCCTAAATCGTTAACAATTGAACCTTAAAACAACAGCTCATGTCATCTCTAAAAGCCTGTTGGAAGCCCTGAAAACCTATAAAACCCTATTCGTTTTTGTTGGGAAGCGCGCGGTGCAACTTGGTTCAGGTCGTGAAGGCCTGTAGTTTGCAACCTTATTGAAAAATACAACCCTGCCACTCCCGGTTTAGGGTTTAGGGTTTATTACAACCCTGCAACTCCCTGTGCTGGGTTGCTGTGGAATCTCTACATCCTTCGGCGCCTCCTTAGACTACACTCAGCCACACCCCTAGACCCTAAACCCTAATCCTTTCTCGGCTTCAGGCTTTAGGGTTTTGGGCCGGGATTCCTAAACCCTAAGGCTCCACGGTTTAGGGTACCTGTAAAAGAACCCCTGGAAGGCGTAATCAGTTTTTGCTATTCAAGTACCCTGAAGACCCCAAACCCTGTATAGAACCCTCGAAGGAGCCATTAAACCAAACCCGAACCCGAAACCCTAAACTTGCCCTAAACCCCTAAACCCTAAACCCTAAACCCTAAACCCCATACCGGGTTGCATGGAGCCTTAGAAAAAACCCAAACCCTAAGGACTTTAGGAGGGACTCCTAATAGGGACCCTTAATCCCATTACCTTAAATAACCATTGTATAGTCCTTCTATAGCCAGGTAGTCTTCATATTAACCCTAATAACCTACAAGGGTCCCTGTTAAGGGTCCCTCCTAAAGCCCTTAGAAATAAGAAGCCCCTAAACCCTAAATCCTAAACCCTAAACCCTAAACCCTCATGGAGCCTTAGAAAAAACCCAAACCCAGGTGGCCCCGGCGCTTGGGGCCGCGCTGTTCATGGCGGGGTTGATGGGCTGCCCGGAGGCCGGGGGTTTAGGGGTACCTTAAGGACGAAATGAACCCTAACCGGGGTTGATGGTTATAGAGCCTTATGGATTTATAAGGTTTTAGAGGGTTTTAGGGTTTAGGGTTTAGGGTTTAGGGGTTCAGGGGGGTCGGGTCTTAGGGTTTAGGGGTACCTTAAGGACGAAATGAACCCTAAAAGGGTTTAGGGTTCATATACCATATAGGGATTCATAGTATATAAGGGTCCCATTATCAGGGAGGCACTGCCTACACCCGTCAACACTCACCCCCTCAACCCTGTAATTTCCAACATCTGCAGGGAAACCTTTAACAGCTGCTAGCTTCTAAAGATTGCTTGCAGCTGCTAATAGCTTCCG